AGGGTGTATACACATATTTTGATTCAGCCTGAGTGCATGCGTGTGCGAATCGTTCATATGAACATTATGATGAAGGACATTGAAAAGCAAATGAGTATGCGTACATGTAAATAATAAATGTACATATGTACACAGCATGGCAGTAACCGGTGTGAGAATAATGTGTAGGTGTAGATGTGTAGTTACAGTAGAACGTTTGTACTATAGTTAATGTGAAAATGGATAAAAGATTAGGTTAATTCAAAGTTAGAAAACAAACCTTTGTTTAGAACCTGTAAAGAAATCAACTTTGGGTGGAGAATTTTAGAAGATCCGTAAGAAAATTGGAAAGGGAGCTGAGAAGAAGACTTTATCAAACAAGATAATCTCAACTGTTGAGAAAAAAAGTGTATCTAATCCAATGGTTCAAAAATGAGATAGATATATGTCTAATTTTACTTTTTGGTAATAAATCTGGAACGTTGGATGAAAAAGAGACGAAGGGCTGATGTTGGTTCCCGCTTAAACAAATTGTCTAGTTACGGGGGAGCTAACTAAATGGGTGGTAATTATGGAACCAAGTGGGAAAAGTGTTGACAAACTACCTTAATAACACAAACTGTCTTTTTGTGATATTAAAAACGTGAAACTGCCTTTTAGTGATATTATTCCTTCGTAAAATATATAACTATAAAATTCTCAAAGGGAACTTCAATTCCTTTAAAAACTGTATTGTCATTTGGCATGATTTAAGTGGTCTATCATTTACAAACATAGTAAATTGTAATGATTTTTTATTATGTTAAAATATAATTAGATACTGATTTTGAAATCTTCACATTTGATGTTGTTCTCCATCACTTTGTCAAACCATCTTTTCTGGCCATCTTTAAGATTTCCTTCTTGTTATATCTTCGTTCACCAAAATGATATACTACATCATCATTATTTTGCAAATCCATCTTTTCGTATCTCGCAGAAGAAAATTTATCCTTTGCACATTTTAGTACATTATCGTAAAAAAATGTAATTACAGAAAATGAGTCACCATAAACTTTTCTGATATTTGTTATCATTTGTGCAGTGAATTCGTTATCTAATGTAAATATTGGAGAGTTTTCCCAAATACCATTAGAATAGAACATGTTTTCCGGATTTTAACAATTTTCAGATAATTCTTAAGATAGTCATCTCTTACTCCCTCAGTTTTATAAAATAAATAGTTTTCGTAAAAAAGTTTTGTTTCACGATATAAGTTCTTTAAATATTTCAATACAATTTTTGTATTTATTGAATATTGTGTGACCACTTAAGTAGATTTTTATTTTTTTTGTTGAGATTACATACTAAATGATAGTACTTTTTAACAAATAACAATTTGTTTAATATTATTGAGTTTAACCTAAACTACTTAAAGTTTGAAACATAGGGAGTAAAAAAAATATGATCCCAAGATAACCAAACATTTTGACTTTTAATAATTATCTATCTTCTATGGGAGCCTAAGACATCATTTTATTAGAGCATCCCCAAAATATATTTTATAACTTCAAATATGGAGTTTTTTGTTCTCCAAAATAGAACTCTAGAATTTCAAATTTGAAGTTTTGAATTGTATAATTTCAAATATAGAGTGTCGTTACTCAAAATTTCAAATTTGGAGTTTCATATTTTTATTTACATTTTAATCTTTACAATGTTACATTAAATAAAAATATATAATTAAATATTAAATTACAAACAAAAGACCAAATTAAGTTTTGTAATATTGTTGTTGTCTAGTTCTAGTTTTAAGATATTTTAAATTTTATCTTAATGTTTTTTAAATATGTATAAATTTGAAATTTATAAAACAATATTAAAATTTTATGAGATAAGAACTTATAAGGATTAAAATGATACACATAACAATATATTTAAGAATTAATATTTTTGTAATAGCTTTTATATATGTGTTAGTTATTTATAAAAGTTTTATGAATTTTAATTAGTTATGAAAAATATAAAAATCATAATATAAAATATATATAGTTTTAAAATTTTACTTTTGGAGAAAGACATTTTTAAGCTTCAAATATAAATTTTTGCAAACTAAAAAATAAAGAGTTTTTTGGAAATACTCTTAGAAATTAACGTGTAGAATTTGAAACTGGAAAAAGAATGTGGGGATGTACAGTTAAAACGCATTGAATGCTAATGAGTCGCCGACCTCGCTCATAGGGAATGTGGTATGTGCGTGAGCGCGGGATAGGGATCTCCTTTTTAACTTAACTATAATTTTCTAACTTTGGTCAACTGGTAAAGTATTCATTTTTCTGTTTTCGATATATAAAGTTTTAAAAGCTTTCATACATAGAAGAGAACAAACGGTTTACAAAGCTAACCCGATAGTGATGGTGATTACGAGAAAGATAAAACTGAGTAGATTATGCTTACTTGTTTTAATAACTAGTAAGATAGCCATTTAAAGCCCTCAACATATCCCTGAAATAAGATAGACATGGCCGAAACTAAAATTTCAGTCCATAAATATTTAAAGTATAATTTGGACTTATGTAAATTAAAACATTTGGAAGTTACAAATAATATTTTAACCCTAGGAGGAGAGTTATATACATAGAACCAAATCAACCTAAACCACAACACCCTGCATGCCTTCTACAACCTCTGTTTCCACTTCTTCGTTGGACCAATGTTCATTGCATCCCTTGAACCGTCTGAGATGGCTCGATAGTCTGCTTCTTTGGATTTTCTAGTCGATATAGATAAGTCCACATCATCCAAATATGCAAATTAAGCAAGAGGTTTGCTTGTTACACTACCACACCTGCACTATCAGTTTGCGATAAAATAAAATTTACACGTGATTACATACTTTACAAAGATTTTTTATTTTGTAAAAAGGCTTTCAATACTTTACTTTACAAAGATTTCTCAAAGTAAAAAGAGATGTACCGACAAAGCTACTAACTTATATAAAGACAAGACGAACCTATATATACAGATCAATCTAATTTTAAATTTATGGATATCCGCCGTACGAATTATTCAATGCTGGGAGCTTATGCTTCAAATGCTGTAGAGCTATCAACATTGATTTCACCATTATTTCCCTAACCTACTCACTTGGATTCTCAAGTACGATCTTACTTACCTTTTGACTTTCACTTCTTATTAGCCTGGGCAGTAGTTTTGTAATAAATTTGTTTCATTTCATAAACTAAATAATAATAACCCCTCCGCTTTCAGCTAGATATTGTTTTAAGTTCTTTTTCATGTAAATTAAAAAAATCGTTAATGTTAAGTTTTCCCTTACTTATTAACTATTGAAATTGTATAAATTGTTTTTTCTTAATTTAATTAGTTAGGCTAAAAATTAAATCAATAGAAATAATGCATTGAAACCATGAGTAAAACTTTTACTCTACTCGACATTTAATTTGAAACAGATGAAGTATATATTATATTGATACCATCCATAAACAGAAGAAAACAGTTTAAAAAATTACAGAAAGAAAACAAAAAAAAAAGGTAGTATAACCATTGACTTTCAAGAACCAAGAAAAAAGGGTCAATGCATTAAAAAAAAAGGATCCAACATCACCACTCGCAAAGTTTTCTGAGTCAAGGCCGTGACTAACAAGAATACACAAGCTACTTTGACAAAGATTTGACATTCAGAGTTGGATATTCGCAGGAATATAATACAATCTTGAAGTGGAAACAATTGACTAGAGCAGCATGCACCATGGACGGTGCATGAGAAACCATGAAGTTGAAGATGAATTAGTTTAGATACACCTTGACTAGTTGATTTTAGTGCATGATCCATCCGCGTAAAGTGGATGCATGTAACATGCAATGCACGTAAATTACTCTTTTCATATAATTTTAAGAGATATAAATACTAATTATAGTCTGTCCTTTGTAGTATGAAAAAAAATCAGACATGTGTGATTTAGTTCAAGTTGTTTCTTGTGTCCTTCCATCACCAACCGAAAAAGGTCAACCAAAATGTACTAATGCTAAATACGATTTTTTAAAAGAATACATCTTAATCTGCACTTTTAAACACACATAATTCGTTTACTTACAAAAATAAAATATATAAAAATTTGTTAAATAAGGGATGGTGTGTTTTAAAATATTTTTAATATCATTAAATGTTTAATTATGTTAAATGATGTATATGTTAAACATAGACATAGATTTAGAGATATCATTTGACAATGTGTGAATTTTTAGTTCATAAAAAGTTAAGAGTAAATTAGCTAAATACCATAAAAGAGAGATACCTTAACATTGGGGGTAAAAAAGTGGTAAGTGGAGAGGAGAGAGACATAGGGAAATAAAGTATATCCGTAATTTTGGGGTTTTGTGTGTATAGAGGATGCAAATTCTCAAAAGTTAATATATAAACGTAATCAAGATTTAAAAAAAAACAATGGGCTTTTAAGATTATTTCTTTAAAATAAATTAGTAAGAAAATATATAATTGATTTGTTTAATAATATATTATTATATATCATGTAATTGCAATAATAGCGAGAATTTTTTTCTTTTTTACTTTCATTTTTATAGTTTCAATAGTGTATTTTTAAAAGCTATACCTTCTAAATTTCTTCTCATGAAATTGTTTCTATTGATATGCAACAAAATTTAGTTTTAAAAAAGCAGAGTTCAAGTTGTTTCATGTGTCTTTCCATCATCAACCGAAAAAGGACCAATCGAGATGTGGTAATGCTATATACGATTTTTAAAAGGAATATTCGATTACACGATTTTATTAATCTTTATTATCAATTTTCTATAGAAACTAAGTGAAACATATATACACCATGAAGAAAAAGAACTCAGCTATCATCTTGATTAGTCGCATGACATCACACCATGAAAAAAGTTTCATCAAAGATTGATATTGGCTTCACCACTATCTATCATCAATCATAATCATCTGCTGTCTCAGTTTCTAGAGATACATATGCCTATAAAGCTCTGAAACAAACAATGCAAAGCCTAAACATCATTACCATCAACCATCATGACTTCATCAGCATTATTGTTTAAGGTCATAAGACTCAGTTTGCTGTACAAAGCCTAACCTCAAAGAAGGTTAGAGATTCACCCAAAGAACATATATATACACACATACGAGCACAAGAACAGAGCAAAGTAACAATAGAATGATGTCAAGAATTTAAGTACAAAACAAAACTTAAAGTACTGTTTTTTGGTTTACATTACAAGAATCCCAAGAGAACTCATCTAGTAACTTCTCTTGTGTTCTCTTCATTGTCTGCACCTGAGACTCTCTTATATCTGAAATTTACACACAACATCATCAGTTCCAAGCAGTGTTCTAAAAATTTATAGTCTGAATGAAACAATTTTTTTTCAAACCATTTTTTAAAAAAACAGTCTAGGCATAGAAAAATCGGTCTGGTCGTTGGGGATTAGTTTCTCACCTGAACGTCGTGGTTGGGCTGGGATCGATTCTCTCACGAGGAGCAAACTCATTGTAGAACTGAACAGAGACCATACGGTTATTGTCTGGTGCAGGAGAATTGCTTGAACTCAAACTTGCATTGCTTGTAAAGAACCCTGCAAAAAAAGAGAAGTTGAGAGAGTTTGATGAGATAACATAACCTTTAGCCATATAACAACACATAACAAAAAAAAAGATACCTAATAAACAATTTGACCAGAGAGATCTCCAAAGCTAGAACAAGAAAGATGAGAAGTGTGCAGTTGCTGAAGAACCAATATTACACACCAGTTAAAACTTTGTATGTTTTGTTATAGACACTATGCGAAAACCAAGACTTTGATTGGTAACAGATGAAACCGCACACCGCAGTAAATAGTAACAAAAATCGTTACATATATCTATATGTTTTTGTTACTATTAGAACTCGCACTACATGTTACCATTCGGAGCCTTTTAACATAGCGATTTTGAGTTCTTTAAAGCTTTAAAATGGTGTTCTCTTGTTTACCTTTGATTGGTAACAAACCAAACCGCACCGCAGTAAATAGTAACAAAAATCGTTACATATATCTATATGTTTTTGTTACTATTAGAACCGCACTACATGTTACCATCCAAAGCCTTTTAACATTGAGTTCTTTAAAGCTTTAAAATGGTGTTCTTTTGTTTACCTTGAAAGATAAGAAAGACGAAGAAGATAACAGTCACTATCATAGCCAAAACGCTACTACAAGGAGAAGAAGACTTTGCTGCTTTCATCCTTCTCATACGTTCAATCCTAGCACGCTTCCTCATAGCGAGCTCAGCGATCTCCCTCATCAGCTTCTGATCATTTGCAGTCAATAAAGGACCTTTTGGAGGTCTAGGAGGCTTGGAAGAAGGCTTCCTCGTCTTCTTAACTTTGACGTTATCGAATTTCCTATCAGAAAGGTCTAGACTTTGGCTGCTTCTTTCTCTCCTCTTCCCTTCTCCTCCCATCAAAGGATCATCTTCATCATCAGTAATGTTTTCAGACCTGTGGTCATAACTCAAACGTCCAGACCAAACATCTTCTTGATTTGTGGTTATTGTGTCTTGTGTCTCATTGAACCTAACACCTTCTTCAATGTCAACACCAAGCTCTTCTTCTTCTTCTCCTGAAACTATATGATCCATCCTCAGCTCAAAAGACTTGCTCTTTTAATGTCCCCTTTGTCCTTTTTTAAAACAGAACACGAGATTAGCATAAGAACCTAAAACCACCAATCAAACAAAAACAAGTTTTGAATATTTCTTTAACAAGTTTTGATTTTTTTATTTTTGCAGCTTTAATAACATTCAGATTCGAAGCAACAAATACAAAGAAGCCTCTACTCTTAACAAAGGTTTCAACTTTATAAGGAAAACAGAGGAAAGAACCTTAAAAACTCACGGATTCGAGCATAATCGCTGAGAATGTCGGAAGCCCACGAAGCTGCTAGATACGAGGAAGAGAAAAGGTAAAGACTTTGAAATCTAATTTTAAGAAAAGAGAAAGAGAGAGAGGAGAGAGAAGAGTATTCAACCCCAAAATTAGGGTTCATATGAGTCAAAAAGAGGTAAATGAGACACGAAAACTGATTATATCCAATTTGGTTTTTCTATATGTTTTATAAATAGACAGAAAACACAAACACACAAGAATGTCTTTTTGGATTTTAATGTCGCCGAACTTTTTTTTTGGAATTGAAATTGTTTTTAGAATTTTAGTCTTCTTTGTATTGTTTTTTTTTTCCTTTTCTTTTAGATATTTTAATTTTAGAATTAGAAAATTCAAAACTGCAAAATACACATTCAAATTAATTGTCAGTTAGTCACTAAAAATGGATATGTATTATTAGTACCAATCCGCTTATAATAGCATAGTCAGAAAAGTCTCGTTAGCTCCACTAATCCCACTTGGGGTAGGAATTCTCACTATAGAATTTCCAAAATACAGGGAATATACAAATATTAATATTTTAATCAAAAAAATATTGATACTTAATTATGAATATTTAAAATTACAGGAAACTCAACCGAGGCACAAATACTCGATACTTGACTCGTACTCGTTTTTAATCCGTAAATCAAGTACATATAGTGATCAAACCAAGTAATAAGTATCTCAAATCCAAAATTTGTAAATACAAGGTAAGTAGCAAATATTTAAATAAAAATAACTACTTGACTTGTCTGTACTTGTTACTTGACATAAGTTTTCATAGTTTCAAAATCTTAATTTATTTACATTTTAAAATAGCTAGATGGATCATATTTCTTTTTACTAAGCTTAATTATCTTGTTTCATTTTGAAAAATCAAGTTCTCAGCATTGTTAAGTCAAATAATAAACCAATAAATCTTATTATTTGTAAATGTAAGCGTGTCAAATATCTTTATATCTTTCAACTTTTGTTTCATTACTTCTTTTTTACATAATATTCATTACTTATTTTTAAATTTTTATTATATATTTAACAGATTAAAATATTAGATTCGAGTAAAAGTTTTTTATAAAAAGTTAGCAAAATTCGTTATATAAGATTATGCTTTAATTTACTTATTTGCAATGTGCAAGGAATATGTATTTTATAAACAAGAGTAACAAATCAGATCAACTAATTTGTAAGTACTGTTTTTTTTTCTTAAGTACTTGATAAAGTAAGTACTCAAACCAAATTCAAGTCTTAAACATGATTACTTGAAGAGGCAAACCAAGTACTAAGACTTCGAAAATTAGCAAGTAATTGGTTTATACCTACTCTAGCCGAAAGTATTTAAATATAGATATTTTCCCATAATTTAAAATATCTACAGTTAAATACTAGTATTTATTATATATATATATAGTTTGAGAATTTTAGGTAGAGAATTCTTCATTAGCCCTGTTCGGCGAGCAACCGCTGCGATTAGTGTCAACTATCAAAATTAAAGCGTGGAAAGGAAGAAAAATTAGTTGGATTTAGACGCAGCGTTAGTTTAAAAGTTCAGTTGTAACAAATTTGGGGACGCCGGAAATCAATAGCGTCGGCGTTGTAGAAATCCGGAGTCAACTTTTGAACGCAGCGTCTCTTTTCTCTTTCATCTGTATTCCCTTTTACTAGGCACTTTTTTAGAATAATTTTACAAGCCACTTAACTATAAACAGCACATATTTTTCTTTTTAAAGCTAAAACAACACATGATGACATGCATTCCCTCATTTCTTAAAAGGGTAAATTGGCCTATAATCCATGAAGAATTTGGATATTAGCAATATGTCATGGTTTTGGGGAAAAAATAATGAGAGGGGGGAGGAGAGATAAGAGAGAAAAATGGTAGATAGTTAATTTAGGGGTTTAGTTTGTATATGGGATGCAAATACTCTTCTTAAAATTGACATTTCTTCTAAATTTTTAATAATAAGTATATGTGAATAATCAATTATCAACTTTTTATTATTAATTTTATATGATTATAAATTTCTTCACAATATTTATATGAACTACTACAGTTTATATATGTCAAAAGAAAAACTACTACAGTTTTTATCGTTACTAGGGTCTTTCCCGGGCTACGCCCGGGTTAACTTTTGATAACATCATTATAATATTGATCGTATACATCGAAAAGAAAATTATATGTCTATCAAATATAAACATGTTAAATGATAAGATTGGAACAAATTTTGTTTATGAAACATAGAGTGGTGAAAGATCTAAATAACTTTATAGTTTGGGTAGATTTGGATTATNTACTAGGGTCTTTCCCGGGCTACGCCCGGGTTAACTTTTGATAACATCATTATAATATTGATCGTATACATCGAAAAGAAAATTATATGTCTATCAAATATAAACATGTTAAATGATAAGATTGGAACAAATTTTGTTTATGAAACATAGAGTGGTGAAAGATCTAAATAACTTTATAGTTTGGGTAGATTTGGATTATACAGCCAAAAGTTTAAGATTTAGATACATGAACTTTTACTAATTATCTGCACATAATTTCTTTGTCATCACTTGTGAAGAAATAAATCGTAAGAATGTTGGAAAATATGTCTACGATAATTCTCAAATTCTATATACCTTTTGAATTTCAAGCATAAATTATATGATGTGTTCCTCCTTTAAAGAGCAACACCATCGAGTCGAGTTAATAAAGAAAAACATAAACATTTTTTTTAGATTTATATAAGTGAAGCAACGTTACAACTATAATTAAAAACAGAAAATGAGTAAGAAGAAAATGAATCATACCGAGAACTTCAAAACTCATTTAAACATCCAGAAGATAACCAACATAGTATAACCCATAGAGATTATACCAAAAACTCTACGGACGGAAAGTTATAATAAAAACTATTTTATGTTGAACAGTGTTTATCTTTTTGTTTAAAAACTAATTTTAAGTTAGCACTTAGAGTTTTGACCCAAAAAATAGTACCTTATGATATAAGATAATTCTATTTGTAGTAGTTTATAATGGTGTGGTGATTTTGTATTAGTCGTTTGATGATGTTGCAATTTTTTTTTTAAAATGAGGAAGTTATTATTAGCACAGTCGCAACACTTTTGAGAGTCACATATTTAGTTACCATTTAGATTCTATAATGTTATGACGAAATATTATTTAAGAGAAATGCAATGTGTGTATAGTTCTGGTGTATACGAATATTTTAAGTAGTATTTGGAAACGAAACAGACTGCCTAATAGAGATAATATAAGAACTTATTGAGTGGGGTTCATATCTTAACGTTTTTAGCCTATCTTCTTCAAAATTATATAAAGGGTTTATATTCACCGTTTTTCATTTTTGCTTATAACTTTATGCCTTAGATTACTTGCACCATTTAAGTGATTTTGATGGGAGATCTCGAAAGTTATAGAGGAAGAAATAGGGTGTTGAGAGTTTTGTTTACATGTGGTCGGTCCCCGCTACAACGCATGATGAGTGTGATTATGTGTATTTGTTTTTGTCAGTGATATAATTTATGTGTAAAATTGTTTTATTTTCATTTAGTTGTGAGTGTGATTATGTTAAACAATTAATGTTGTCTACATCAAATTTTAGTTATATAACTAAAAACTATATGTAAGCATATTCAGTATTATCGCTGATCTGATTCAGAGTTGCAAAATTTTATAGTGTTATATAATTTTTAACACTTCTCTAAATTTAAACCTTAAGCATTATAAATTAACTCGATCAAAATCGAACACAATAGAGAAATCTTGTTAAACCATGGATCATAAAAGATATTTCTAGATCTTATGGAGCGGAAAGTTGAGTTTTAATCTCTTACTCTTCCTCATTAACCAAAAAAAGGAGCATAAATATTGTATATTATTATTTTTATCAAATGAGAGTTTATGTACTGCTTATTTAACAATTAGATATAAGAGTATGAGAAAGCAAATATAATTATAAGTTAGATTTAAATAGATATATATATATATATATATATATATATATTATATTAGAACTGAATATTAAAATATAATTAGTATTTAGAATTCTTGTATTAATTCATTGTGTTACCCAACAAATTTGAAATGATTAAACTCCATTTTTTAATATTTTCAGTATTGGAATTAACGGAGGGTAAGCAATGTGAAATTTAATTTAATTAAACTTTGTTTATGCTTTAAATAGTTATATCTTATTATTTATTTTTTCATATAAACTATTGTTAAAATTTACAACTCATTTAAAGCTTAATTATGTTTTTAGAATCATTGAGTTCCAATTTCTCTGGCATTTGTTTTTAAAGGCAGTATAAAATGTAGAAAGCGGTTCTTTACATCTTCTGTATCGAGCGATAATACATTCTTTTGGCCAGCTAAATTTACGGCTATATAATTTTGGTTTGATAGGGTACCAAAGTTATTTTATCAGGCTGGCCGAAAAAAATCAATTTTTTTGCTAAACTGTTGAGTGGGAAAGGTTAAAAAGATTGTTTGATCAAATTGCAAAACAGAAGTACTGAAATTGATAAACATGATCTTTGATTGAAACTGTTTGTTTAAACATAATGTTGGTTTTCAAACAAACTCATGAGAACACATTACAAACCAAATAAAATCAAAGAACAATTTTTAAGAAAACCATAACCCAAGGTTCTCTAAATCATATAAACCGAGCCATCAATCTGAAAATTAAGAAATAATACCTCAGCTCAAAGACCTAACTCTTCTGTTTTCGTTCTTCCTTCTTATTCATAAATAAATAAAGCTTCTTCTCTGGATAAGAAGCTTCCTCTCTTACACCCCCATTGGCCTCTCAATTTGTTGACCTTCCACAAGTTTACTTATTCCATATTTCTGTTCAAGGAAATAAGAAACAATGTTATATCAGTCATGCAGATGCATGTACCTGTTATAAACCACCACCAATAAAGATTAGTGTAAACATGCAAAACTTAAAAAAAAGTACAAACGTTGTTAGTACAAAAGCATTTTACTTGCTTGCTTTCTTCTATTAATAAACACAAAAACACTTACGTCTTGTATGAAATAGCTAAACTAAATCATATTCAACCCAATGAAATAATGAAGAGGCATGAATCCGGAGGTTCCGTAACGGCGACGGTATACACATATCAACTGTAAATCCAGAAAGGCTGATACAAACCTTAAAATAAGCTGAAACATAGATGCTTATTCCAAACAAAACCACATAAGCTGACTAAGTTCAAACATAGAAGAACTGTAAACCGAGGAAAAAGTATCTTCCATATTTGCTGAAGGGGTGTTCAAGATCGCATACCCTTGTTCGAGAGGAGAGGCTGCCACCATAGAGACGCGCACCGTTTTGGTCCCATCCAACAGAAACTTGAGGCCTCACCTGAACATGCCAAACATTGCCTAACTCCAACTTGTTTTGTCGAAGCTTTCTATATTGATTTAGATATAAAATCATATGAAATCGAAAACGCATATGTTACCTCGGTGATACATGTTGCTTACCTACTGTGAGACAAATTGACAACAATTTCATAATAATCTTGATCAAAAATTCAAAACAGCACAAAATTCTACAGCATACCCGAAAGTAGTCTGCAAATGAAGAAAGACAGTAACTTTATGAGCATCAGAATTTGTGTACTGATGAGCAGTTTCGTTAGACAACACAAATATATGTGACCTGAGAAACTTGTCGACATGTCATCGGTTACTTCTGCTCCAATCTCTGCCACAAAGACACAAACATAACCGAGCATAGAAAAAATTATATATTTTGTTCATTAAATGTAACATGAAACTGCAAAAAAAAAACAGACTTGGTTGTTACCAAAAAGTAGAATAGGCATTAGACTTATAAGGGACAGGTGTATCTGGTTTTAACTGACCTTTTTCAACATGATATCGAGCTCTTTGATGGAGAGAACAGTTTTGATTGATATTTCACGTCCATGTTCTGCAGGAAAACCAACCAATAAAGATCATAATAGATGCAGATAACCAAAGCTCTATTTTACAGGGGAAGTTATCAGTATCTGTCCAGTTAAGAGTTTCCAGAAATTACCACATGAACTATCTGTAACTGCTGGACTTGGTCACCACAATCGTTGAAAAGCAGTTCACAACTCTAAAATAATCAATTTATTCGAATCATCACCACCATCCAAAGAATCCACGGTTCGTTTCCTCTTCCTCTTCGATTCGTCCTTCTTCTCCTCTTCTGCGATAGCCTCTTCGAGCCTCTCCACCTACCAAATCACCAAAACTCCAAAATCCGAAATCGATAAGAAAAGAGATTCAACGGAAAAATACCAGAACGGCTTTGAGTCCGGTGGTCTCAAGTCCACCTCGGCGAGCTTTGCACGGAGTTCGTCGGAGAGGTGGTTTGACAGATCAAAGAAACCAACTGGAGAAAAGAAGAAACAAAGAGGAAGTCGAAAGGCGAGGAGAAGACACAAAGGGATAATTTAATTAGGATTAGATAAAATTTCGTTAACAGTGGGATGACATAGAAAAATGCTCTAATTTTAGTGGTTGATTATTTTATCCCACGTGGACATCCTCCCTATGAGTTATATTCACCTTTTAGTATAGTATAGATNCCAACTGGAGAAAAGAAGAAACAAAGAGGAAGTCGAAAGGCGAGGAGAAGACACAAAGGGATAATTTAATTAGGATTAGATAAAATTTCGTTAACAGTGGGATGACATAGAAAAATGCTCTAATTTTAGTGGTTGATTATTTTATCCCACGTGGACATCCTCCCTATGAGTTATATTCACCTTTTAGTATAGTATAGATAATAACTCTACGCCTTTACTTAAACAATTCTAGTCACATCTTATCAAATGTACACTCATCAAGCATTCATAACTCGTAACTGATAATTTCTCGTCAATATATCTTAATAAATAAAATAATTTAAACTAACTAAAGCATAAACATATCCAAAATAGTCAATTTGGATTATTTCTAGTCTATTTCTAGATATATCATAGCATCATTATCCCACATACCCAACTAGTGTCTCTTATTAATATTTTAATATTTTAAAGCAATAAATGTGTGTTAAAAGACTCTATTAAAAGACCCAATCATCTATGTCCTCCATTGCAAATCTCTTATTTAAAGGTTCTTAAAAAAACACTTACAAGCTTGGTTCGTTTCCATCATGGCCAGCAATGAGAAGGAAGACTCCAAATGGCCAAGACTGTAGTAACACGGATGAAGAAACAAAATCAGTAGTCATGTCAAAAATTACTAAAACATGGATCATCAAAGTTTTGTTCCGGTAAACTAGCCACGAGATGTATGAAAGAAACTAGAGAATCCCAATTAGATTATCAGTTACTACCATTGAATCTCTATTGCTTTAATGACAACAAAGTCATAATATGCATACACAGGGGAAGTTTATTCCAAGTCCCAACCTCAGTAATCAGTATACCACAAATAATCGAGTAAGCAAGTAAATATGATCAAAACTCTGCAATAGTCTAAGCAATTCAATCTACCAACATCACTATAACTCCTTGCTTTTCTTACTCTCCCTTGGCCAAAATCTAACAGAAGAATCCAAAACCACATAACATAATAAGCTGACAGCAAAGAAAAAGAACATGTAAATCCTGAAATTACTTACACTGAAACAATGACTTTGGTGTTCCCAAACTCAGCATAAGCAGATCCAGAAGCATAACTCACAGCACCTGTTTAATATACTGAAACAAAAAAAAATAAAACAATTCTTTTTCACCAAAGAAGTAAACTTTAAGTTGAGTTAGTCTCGCAAGAGAGCTCTTGAACCTGAAGTTAGAAGCTAACATGTTCAATCAGGAAAAAGATCAATTACAAGAGTATCAGTTGAAATCAAACAAGTAAAGACAACATCTTTAATGAAAATATTCATAACATCAAAACAAAGCCAAAGACACGTCCTTTTTTGATCAATCTTCCATTGAAACCCCACATGCAGAAACAGAGAAAGAATCAAGCTTTTAACACATACCTCTTCGATGTGAGAGAGATCGAGATGAAGACAGTCATTGATCCAACCGAGAATCTCGTACCCAGATTCACCAGAAGCAGAGGAAACAATCAATCTACGTTATCCATGGACGTCTTCCCGTTAAGTTTCTTCGCCATTGCTCTCTCCTTTTCGCCTCTTCTCTCACAGATTCAAAATACAAACGGCGGGGTGAAAGTCGATTGGGCGAGTGGCGATTGAAGGGAAGAGACGCGGTCGTCGACGAGAAGGAGAGAGACAAGGCGTGATTCCGACGAGAGAGAGAAAGAGATGAACTCTCGCAAAAGACAACACGTGTCTCAGAAACCCGTCTCTTATTGTCCCCAAATAACAAACGTTCTTTCGTATTTCATCAAATTTTCATTTTTCTTTAATGCTAATAATACAAAGAGACGGTCTGAGGAGACCGCGTTAATGATGCTCTTAGTCTTTTGTTTTTAAAAATAACATATGCTCTTTCTAACCCAACTTTTGCAATACGTTAATACCAACTTTATTTTATCTTTCTGATAGACACTTGTATTCGTCAATGTTATATCTACAAAATAGCCGTTACGGTCCCATAGTCTTATGACGCACGCTGTCTCAAAATCAACATCATGGGTCCAGCAAATGCACTATTTTGATTAAGATACAAACACAAACAAACAAAACTCTTTTTGATAAACAAAAAGAAAAATACTTTTCCGAATGAAACTTTCAAAATTAAAATCGTGACAATGACAATATATAATATATCAGATAAAACCAATGAGATGTGAAGAAAAAAAAGAAGACGAATTATTTTATTAAAAAAAAAAGCTTTTTTCTATAACCAGAAAGTTTGAACTTGAATATGATTATGACTAAACCAAAACAAAATCACCAAATTATAAAATCCATTTTGAAATTAATGATGTAAACTGAATTGAATCAACACTGATGGCACACCAACACATAACAAAAAAAAACACCAATTCAATAGATAATAAAGTTGCTTAACAATTCTCCAAATAAAATGATAAATTAAAACCAAACCAAACAGATAATTCGAGTTCAAAATGAAGAAAATAAAATAAACTTCTTAAAAAGTGAACGAGAGACGAGAGATGCCACCAGATTCTTCAACCCAAGGAACATAGAAACTGAGTTTACCAGTTTCCTCTTCCCACTTAAACTCAGCTTCCTTGCCCTCCAAGTAACACATCTCTGGAGCAGAGCTCGAATACGCCATGAAACTTCCTTCTCCTTTCACTTCAACACTAATGCTGTTATCACCAGTAACCTCCATCTCCTGAACTGTTCCAACACAGTTGAACATGTTGATCAACCCTAGAGGCGCAAACCTAACCCCTGAAGTTCCTAGTTCCGTGACAGGCACGAAACTAAACAGATCAAAGGAAGATGGCTCTAGGGTTATCTCCATCGCGTCAGATTTCAAGTTCATGAAAAGGATTTCCTCAGATTGGTTCTTGTAGACCAAGTAATCTCCAGTGTAGATCACTTGAGATGCTACAGCTTCTGGGTTTTGGTCCCACTCTATGTCCGAGACATGGATTGTTCCTGAAACAGACATGTAACACTCTTTGTAACCCTTGAACCTATGCTCTTTTGGGCTCCAACCAGCTCCTTGACAGTTAAATGCTCCAATCACTCCTCCAAACTGAAACAAATCATTAAAATTTCAGTAAAAAAAAATTGATATTTAAGCATTTAATTTCGGTTTTAAAAATGATTACCTTGTTGAAGTTGAAGATCTTGAGGATTGATTCTTTGTCAAACAAAGGGTTCTTGAAGAGAGAATCTCTAGTGGGGAGAGCATAGTGGAGACACCTTGGGACAGTACCATCAAAGAAAGCAAGTTTCTTGATGAGATCAAAGTTATGGGAGGCTTTGCCAAGATGGTCACTGAGGTAGATAGGTCCACCACAGATGGCTCTAGACGCTGCATGGTACTCAGCACAGACATGATCTGATTGGAACATGTCCCAATCCGGTTGAATCATTTGACCCATCCAGAGACTGTTGTAAGAACAATGAATCATGTGTAGCCCTTGTAGCCAATACACTCCTTGTGGGTCACCATGTGGGTCTTGCCACCAAAAATCATCACCTAATCAAAAAATCAAGACATTTTTTATAAGTATAGAAACAAAAATATAATAAAAGTAAAACAAAAAAAGGTTATAAATATATTAATTATTACCAACTCTGCCTATAGAGATTTGCTTTGTGGCAAGGAAGAAGAACTCATTGCATTGTTGCATACTAGCAATGATCTCAGTTCCATTGAAATTCTTCACCATGGATTTGGTCAAACCATCATAGTAAGTCTTAGCAAGCTCCACTCTTCCTCCATGCTCTTCTGCTACTGACTCCAACGTCTAAAAGCAACAAAACCACATACAAAAAACAAGTTATAAATATAAAGAAGAAACTTGTTTCATAAAAAAAATATATATATATAAATTATCTGGTTACATTATATATGTAACCAGATAATGTAACAAACATAATGAAAGTAATGTAATAACTTACTTGAAAGACATCAATCTTGGCTCCTGTAACTCCAACACTAGCAAGATAAGAGTGCATTGAATCATAAAACTCATGAGCCTTAGAAGGATGAACAAGACCAATACCAGCTTCCACAATCCTATCGACCGCGAGATCAGTCATGGAAGCATCTAGACCAGGTGAAATATCAAATGGAACAACCTTGGATTGCAAATGTGTTAAGGTCTCAGGTCTAACACCATTCCAAGCACCACAAAGAGCATGCCACACATATATACCATCTAAATTCTTAAACCTTGACCTCAAATCCCTAGTGAAAGCTTCCATACCTGAGCCGGAAACATCCTCAGAACCCAAAGAGACTTGTTCACCATCAAACATTGCGTTGAGTTCTTCACTAAACTTCTTGATCTTCTCATCAAGTTCAGGAAGATCATGTTCCCCAAACTCACGGATCAACTTCTGCTTCTCTATAATGGCTTGAATCCTCTCGGTAGCTTTGTAGATGATCATCTTTGGCTTGTGAGGATCAAAGTGAGAAGCATCAGACTCTATAAAGGAACCACCTCTATAGTTTCTGAACTTCTTGCACTCCTTGAAGCTGTGAAGCCTCGCAGTCATCTGCTCACCACCAAGGACAAGATTCTCAGCGTCTTTCCCTGGCTCCTCACCATCAAAGCTTATGCTTTGCCATCCATCATCAATGATGATAAACTTGGGACACACGCCACCATCTTCAAACTCCTTAACACCGGTCCAAATGGTCGCTGGGTCAACGGTTAAGTAGCAAGCATCCCACGTGCACCAACCAAACTTGTCAACTATTGTCGGAAGCTTCTTCTCTTCTAGAAGCTTGAAAGTGTTCATGTGGACACGTAGCGCGCTATAAGCCTCTCTCATTAGGTTGTAAGGATTGTCACAAATGTGAACATAGGCAATGGCATTGAAAGAGGACTCTTTCACTTGTGTAGAGCCACTCTCTACAGAGATCAAAACGTTACCGTTTTCACCAGGATTCAGTGCAGCTCTGAAAGATCCTTCAATGATGGGTATTATAGCCACGTAGGAGTCGATCTCAGGAACCTTTAGCATGACCCATTGAGTCTCGGCTTGAAGATCCGACCCGGATTTTCCAACCCAAGCAGTGGACCACCACATCTTGAACCGGAAAACACTTAAAAACTCTCTGTCTTCAAACCTCCCCAAGGAGTTTGTGAGAAGATCAGAAGGGGAGTCTTTGGTGAATCCAAGAAACCCTCCTTTGTGAGCGTTGGCTTGAACACGGAGGAGTGTCGGGAGAGGAGCATCGGTGGAGATGGAGTGTGATGAGAACGGTGTGAACGTTAGGTTTTGAGGAACATCAAAGAGGATTGGGGAAGAGTGTTTGGCACGCAAGATCCCTTCGGATAGGCTAAAACAGTTTTCTTGCAAAACCGGCTTGGTTATTGGGGAGACAAGAGGTTTGGTCTCGATGACATCGATGGTTGTTGCAAGAGACTCGTTAAGTGGAGCCATGAGAAAACAGAGGAGCTTGAAAATTATAGAGAGCGAATAAGTAAGAGGAAGTTATGCTTAAGGATGAAAATGATAGCTTCTCTTCTGGTCTATATATACACCAAATGATGGATAGAAGAAGATTATAATAGTTTCCTTATTTACGATTCGTATATATCGACTTACCTAATGTACATTTCAATTATATCCAGTGATCTTTTGTTAATCCGTGAGATTTTGCTTGCGCAAGGAGATGATTTGACTGTAATAGATACGAAATTATATGCATGTTAAATTAGGAAACCTGATATGATACGAATATAATTGAAAGATCTTCAAAAGTAAAAAAAAAAAAATCTAATGATCTTTTGACGACCAAAAGATAGAAGACAGAGTTGGAAATGTTCTTGCAAGATCTATAAGCCAAGAAAAGATACACTAAAGGAGTATATTTTGTCATATTCACACGTCTGTTCATCATGTCTGCATGCATGTATGCTACTTGTCAAATGCTCATGTTATTTAAGGAATTGTATAATATATAACCAAATGAAATATAGAGGATACTGTATTATTATATATCTTATATGAACAAAATATGTCATACTATATCTTGCTGATCGTAGGATATGTTTTAATTGGAAAGTGAATTTAACGATAAATGATATTAAAATATTTTTTTTGTATCATCTTAAATATAAGTATATTGAAAGATCTTTTGTAAATTTCTTTTCTAGGAGTATTTTCCTTTGCTAAGCAAATCCAACAGAATATTATTAGGGCAAATATAATTACTCACAAGATTGAGATCTTGTGATATTTACCTTCTTAAAGTTGACCATTGATGACTATATCCTTTATGAAGACATAAATGTGGATGGGTTCAGTATATAGTGAATATATCGTCTAGTTTGGCGAGTGTTTGGATTGAGACAATGTTCGTTTCTGGTGTTGTTAAATCCACGATTGAAGCAGATGAGAAAATAACAGAAAAAAATAGAAGAAGAGTAGGGGTGCAGGTCTTGGAAAATCTTAAAGGTAAATAGAAGCAAAGCAAACGTGAAGAAACGATACTTTAAAAGAGACTGATAAATTCATATTGCTTGTCACACTTTATTTTGTTTTGTTCACACGTCCCTTTGTCATGTCTGCATGCATGTATGCTACTTGGCAAACTCTCATAGTCTCATCTCATGTTACGTATATACAACCGATCGTTACTTAATGAATTGTATATTATTTAACCGAAGAAAAATAAAAGTAAAATAAAAGGATGTTAATTAGCGGTGATCTTTATGATCCATGATTTCTTTCGGTGTGAAAGGCTACCGTATTATCTGAAACGAACAAAATAAGTAATAGCACATCTCCCGTTACAGAGAAAAAGTAATAGCATATCTTAATAACCGTATGATATAAAAAAATCGTATGCTTATTAGTAACTGGAAAGTGAATTTAATTGACAAAGTAACGGATATATACAGTGCCGGTCCGGAGTTTTGTGGCGCCTAAAGCGCAATAAAAAAAATTATGCCCTTATCACCAATATTTGTTTACTTTTATTTTTTAAAGCAAACAATTTTTTTAAAAAATATATATTATGCAGAAATTTCATCAAAAAACTCTATCTATACCATACTGATAAAATAGTGATTTGATTTTTTTTACTACAGTAGTTTGTAACCATGAAGAATGGAAGACAAGAAAATAAGAATTGTATGTGGTAAATGACTAAATGGCATTTATATTGAACGGCAAATTAGTTGATTTGTTTTTATTCATGCGACTATGCCATTTAGTTGGTGTTAAAAGCTGCCATTTAATAAAAAATATAAAAACGGAAACAAAATCGATCCCTTATATATTAACTGAGAAACATCCCCTATATATTAATTGAGAAATATTTGAAAAATGTAACCTTAACTTTGTACTAATTAAAAAATAACCCAATTCTACGTGGCATTTGTCTATGCCTTCTATTTCAATTTAAAATGATTCTAGAGCATCTAACATCTATTATAATCTAAAATTTATACTCTCTAACAATATAATGTTCCGTAGGCTATAGTTGGTCACATATATCAAATAGTCATTGTTTCGCAGACTTTCCTTAAATAAAACTTACGGAATTACCTAATGTGATTAAAAAGTATATGGCAATTAATGATTTTAAACAATAAAGATTTGATAAAAATCTGTATACTTTTTATCATTTTTTTATTTCTTTATTATTAAAATAAATTACACAATTACATTAATCATATAATAAAAATCTAGATTTTTTTGTCTATGTTGTATTTCGAATTTTTCAAAATGAATATAAATTACTAAAACTGTTAAAAGTCTCACATAAACTTTTATGAACAAGTTTTAAATATTTTCTATATTAAGATACAATGATTATAAGACCATATGAAGAAATTAATAGGTTTATGTTAATATATATATATTTCATATCGTTTAAATTAGACTATACATCGTATGAAAATTCGTCGAGTTGTTCCAAAGAATCAAAACGGCCCAAAAGTCCAAGGGTTGGGGTCAGCCGGGTCAAAGACTTATATTTTGATATTTGTATTGAACATATATTGAAAAGTTAATATTTTAGTTTTGAAATCTTTCATTGTTTTTTAAAATGATTATAAATTATTGAAACTACTAAACATCTCACTTTAAAAGAAAATTGTTGATGTAATTTTGTTACACAAATATGCAAATAATCATAAAATCATATGAGCAGAAACCTCATTTAATAAATATCTATATTAAAATTTTGCTATATATCTATATTAATATCCTTTAAATTTAACTAAATATCATATACGATATTTAAGATGGATTCTTTTGATTTATTTACCTAACTGCGAATAAACAAGAATGATTGTTAGATTTATATGCATACACCAATTTAATACATAATAGTAACTGATTTCATAGTTATTTAATATATATAATTATTATTTTATTATTTCATAATATCCAGAAAAACATAAAATAAATAATAAATACTTATTCTGCATAAAGAACAGATCTTAACCAAAGTATGTATCTCTTTAATTATTTTAAATCTTAAGCATTTTCTAAATCGCTGAAAATAAACTTCAAAATCAATATTTTTATCGAGCAATAACCAAAAAAAAAAAAGAAGAGAAAATATTGAAGGTAGATAGGCTAGTTACGTGACCGTAAAATTCTCATAGCCATAATTAATTTTGAAGTTGTTAATTCATGAAATAAAACCGAGTTAATTTTTAATTTGTTAATTTTTTTTTTTAAATTTTAAATCATTATGGTTATGTTAAATCATGACCATAATTACTTTTTAAATTGTTAATTTTTATTTGAAAAACTTAAAATATTGTTTTTAAGAATAATTTTATATTTTTAATAATTTAAAGTTAGATTTTTAACATAATTATAATTTAAAATTTATCTTAATTTTTTATAAAATTAGTTATTTATTTAAAAAATATAATTTTCTGATATTATTAGAAAAATAAATAAATTATATTAAATTAGCTTTGAAATTTTATATATTTTACATGCAAATATTTTACCAACTACTTCTTAAGAAAGCATTAGGGAACTTGCTAATGCTCTACCAATCAAGCCCTGTGACACTCCGTTTATTTTTCATCACTCGAAAACTGAAAAGTGAAAAGATATATGAAATCGGATCCGTTAAATTCTAACTTTTGATCTAAAGTTCTAATTACAATTATTTCTGATCTTACGTATAGATAATTACATAAAAATTCCAAAATTCCAAATAAATATAAAAAAAATCATTTGTAAATTTTAAATTTGTCAATACTAAAATATTATATGTTAGTTACATACATTCATCCTATGCAAGGCGCAAGTCTTATCCTAGTTACAACATACAATACTTTGGTAACCATGTGTCATTACCCCAAAGATTCTTAGAATCTTTAGAAAAAGTTAATCAATCTATACATATATTATATTTTTATTAAACTAACTATTAAATTAATTAATAGTGTAGAAAAAATATTCTACATTATTTACTTAAATAGAAGATATGAACTTACCTAATATGATTAACATATATATGATACTTAATAATTTTGAATAATAAAGATTTAATTATATTTTTTTGTATCTTTCATTCATTTTGTTTAATTTTATATTCTTAAAATAATAAATAATCATATTAACCATATAATAAAAATTAGATTTTTATTATATGGTATATTTTTAATTTTCTAAACGAATATAAATTACTAAAACTATTAAAATCCCACAATGAATTTTTTTTGATCAATGGTTTAATTTATTTGTTATAACAAATTACAAATGATTATAAAATCATATAAATATAAATTCTCATTTAATATATAATCAGATGAAGTATATATATATATATATATATATATATATATATATGTGACATGTCATATAATGATTTTAACACATATCATCTCTACAATCATTTTCACTAAATTAATGTGACATGTCATATAAAAAAGATGACAAGACTTATAAGTTAAATATGATATGGACAATTACATTTAATGATGATATATATTTTTGGTAAACTTTGTATAATATTGTAATAACTCATATATTACGTTAATGTTGATTTATATTTTGGGTAAACTTTTTATAATTGGGTAATAACTCATAAAGCACCACAAAAATATATTCAAATATGACATAATAAATTTTTAATTATCATTTAATTTATTATTATAATTATAGAATTTTTACTACTTAAATTTCTACAATTTATTTTTAAAACTATAATTTTTAATCGTAATATCATTACTTTCTTTTAGACATCTATAAATTTTATAAATATTTTAGTTTTAATTTTGATAACTATAAAATTTTTATATGAATATTTTTAGTGATTTTATACAAGTTGTTTTAATATATTTAACCAAAATAAATAGATAAAAGATTTATCTAAGATTATAATTTTAAATATATACATATATATATAAAAAATATTGGTCAAAATAATAAATTTTATAATTTAATAAAAACATATTTTTCTC